TATCACTTGCACCACTCCAGTGACCTGTAGAGTGATACCAGGGATAGATTTGCTGCCACTGTTGTTTTTATTCTGTTTTGAGCCTACCACCATTTTATATCTTCACATCCCTGTTTTGTGAGAAAGGGTGAACAGAAGTTCCTAGGCCACCTTCCCTAAGCCACTCATTGTTTGTATGCCTTTGTCTTGTCCTCTCTCACCTGTTCCAATCTGTTTCTTTGCCACCTGTCTGCCCCCGCACCCCAATCTGTCAACTGTTTGAGATGCAATGACTAGAACAGAAGCCAGCGCCATGAGCGAGAGGCAAACCCTTGCTATATACAATGCCATTGGAGTACTTCCCTGATGTTCTCCACCCTGTTCTTTATGGCCTTCCCATTGTTCAGCAGCAGATGAAACTGCAGACACTGAGCAGGGGGAGCGAGAACCCAACAGTGATACTCAAGTCAAGCCGCTTCCTACTATGCATGCTACTTCGCATAGTGCTGCTAGTGATTGTCACATCTGGATGGCATCTGTTCATGGGGTTCAGTGAGGCCACTTCATTCTTCTTCAGCCTTTCGCAGCTGTAGGATTTACCACCTTATTCATTACCCGTTACTACTTAAGAGATACTGACATCATCAACCTTAGTGCAGAATGTTGTGTCACTGTTCTGTTAGCCTTTTGCCAGAAGTAAAGCTGATTTTCCTGCCTGCTTCCTGATCTGTAACATGTTTTGTCTCTCACACCATGTCGACTACCCATATGGTCATTAATTTACATATTTTTAAATACTGAGAAAATACTGTTCAAGAAAAACACTGACAAGTTTTACAAAATAAAAGTTATCCTTCCTTAAATCAGAACATTCCTTATTCCCCCTTGCTGTGCAAACTTGCCTGCACAAAGCTATTGTTTCTGGTCCATTAGCTCAACATGCTGTACCAGGAGTTATTTCCTTGATGTCTGCTCATCACCATTTCCCAAATGGTGTTTGGCATCAAGCCTGGGCTCTTGGGCACTTTGCAAAATTAAACAGTATTTCATTCAAAATAAACTCACTGATATGCTCCACAAGTCCAGACTGACCAAAAAAAAAAAAAA